TCTTATCTTCTATATATGACATGAATATCCAATTGGAAGCTCAGAATGTCCCTCTAGTGGCTTTCTCAGCCATTTTAACAGGCTTGGATGCCATTTCTTTCTTTTGAACCAATATTTCAAATGAGGTAGGGTGTGTCTTTAGTCTGCTCAAAATTTAATATTTTTTTAAACTAAAATACATCTTAGTTACTAAGCTTTATAAATTATAGTTGATTTCTATTGTATTGATGTAGCAACTTATGATTTATTAGTTATTCAAATGTATATATATAAAACCTAAGAAAAATTATTTTGTTTCATATCCTCCACATGCAAATTTTTAAAGGCTTGGCAACCTACGTCAAGCAGTAACTGAGTACAAAGGTTGTAGCTAGAAGAGATTATTGTTTGCTTTACTTCTTTATTTACTGTTGTATGTCTTAAGAAAGATAAGTTTAAGAACTTATTTCAAAATAGCAATATAATGTATAATAATTGAAATGTGACTGTATTTTACAAAATACTAGTCTACTAAAACAGAGCCAAGACAAGTTACTTTGTACAGACCAAAGATAAGTTTTATGTTATTGGATACGGTAACATGAATGCATGATTGTAACTTATGTATTGTTAGCGAAGCACAACTGAAAGGTCAGTATAATGAAAATAATAAAGATATATATAAATGCATAATGTTATGAGATTTAAGCTATTTAGTCAAAACATTTATGTTTTCATGTTATAATTTGTGTTTATTCTAGAATGAAAGAGGCATAATTTATATTCTTAAGAAACATTTGATAACTATCTGGACACTATAAAGATTTTGCATGTGAAATTTTAAAATTTTCTGCTGCATAAAAATATTTTTAATCTTAAAATGAAAATTACTTTGCATGTTAGATATGGAACATGTGGAACAAAAAAAAAAAGGCATGAGAAAAACATTGCTTTACAAACCTTAAGACTTGATAAAAAAAAATTATATTTTGCGTATGCAAGCATTGTAATGTTTACTGCTGATGTGCCAAATTTCATTAACATTTGCTTACTAATTTAAAAGTTATAGCATGAAAACTATAACAAGCACAAATTGGTAATGAGGTCAGTTCCACGGAATGAGCCCTTGCCGAGAGTTAATTGGCTGATTATACAGATTAATCAAGTTAATTGCCGAACTCTATTTGACAACTGTGATGAAAGGAGAGCTACTGAAGACATTATAACTAGATAAACTATAATTACTTGTGATATAAGATGAAAGTCATATTTCCTGTCACAAAATCCAAAGGTTTTAAATCCTGTCTTCTTTTTTTTTTTTGTTGAATTTTAGTGTTATCTTCAGTGTAACCCAAGTTTCTACTTCCAGTTTAATCTAAAATAGTTACTAGAAAGAGTTACAGCTCATTTTTAACTATTTGAGGTTACAACCAAATGTTGCACTTCTTTATAGCAACTGTATATAATTCAAGATTCTCATATTCCTTCAGTGAAAATTTAATACTTCAACTTAATCACAAATAATGCGTTTGATATAAGTAACATTTCACTGTTGCTCTGCGAGTACAATATTTGATATACAAAATGATCATAATGTACTGTACCATAAGCCTATGCAAGACCATACTTGAAGATAAAGCAAGCTATTGGAAAATCCTTGATTCTTTTAAAGTATGATTTTTTATTTTTTTTATTTCAAAACTTTGAATTTTGCTCATTTTGCAGAGTTTACTTTTTTGTGAAATAAATTAAGTATGAAGTTAAAATGTATGAATGTTTTGGTTATTTACTTATAGAAATCACCTCATTCTTTACAGCTGTCCTTTAAAACCTTAGTTTAATGCTGTTTCTGTATCATTCTTAGTGTTGTGTATATAGATTTTGTGCTAAGTTTGAAAGTTATCTGCATTTAACAGATTAGAAAATATCACAAATATAAATAATTTTATTACATATATATATACTTTCAAAACTCACAGTAAGAAATAGTTCAAGAATACCAATTTCCAGTTACCATGAAAAAATTATGGTAATCAAGCCATGCAAATCTGGGTGGTGCAAACAAATCTGTAAAAAAAAGTAGAAGTGTGGCCTATTTCAGGGTTTTTTATCCCCCTTCTTAAGCAAAAACCTTAAAAAATACCCCATGTACACTGACAAGCCATTTCCAGTTGTCCTACCCATAGTTTTGGAAATTAAGCCAGCCAACTCTGAGTGATTGATGTTAATAAACACACACACACACACACACACACACACAATTGATCATCATTATAATAAGATTACAACTGGATACATGTTGTTCAATATTTATAATTTTTCTTTCTTACAGGGGAAGGAGAAAACCAAGAGAAACAAAAGGAACAGGTTCAAGATGTTGAGGAACAAGATGTCTCATAAACTTGCACTCCTTGCTCATCTAGATCTGTTGCAATTACTTTACATGTATTCATCCTCCTGCATCATAAAGATTTGTATTCACTGTGGTCATCTTGTATTTTTTTTTTACCCCCTTGCATCATATGATTCTGTGAATAGTGCTAAATGCCAGCCAAGCCCATGGTGACGATCTTGCTGCTCAGCCTAGAATTATTTGGATGTGTTACTCCTCCAGTTTTGTATATGATTTGATCAAAAGCACCTTTTTTATATTTTGGTACACCATTCGACATCTTTGTGTGTGTGTGTGTGTGGTGTATGTCTTTATTAAACATTAAGTAAATGTATTTCTTTGGGAGGGGATGTCTGGTAACTCGTAAAGGTTGCAAGTAATTTAACTTCTTTTATAATCAACTGGGATCTGTTGTAATTAAGGAAAAATCTATCATGTTTTTCTGACTTATCGTTTAATATTCAAATAGTTTTTGGTGATTAGCTTTAATGCTTTTGCATTAGTGTTAGTTATTTTTTTCTCTTTTCACAGATTGTGTAGTTGGGGTTTAAAAAAGATTGACAAATTTCATGTATTACAGAAAACTAATAATTGTTCTTTTTTCTCACTCCTTTTTTTTTAGCAAATTGGGTATTAACAATGGTTTAAAGTAACTTAATATCTTCAGAATTTGACATGTACTTAAAGTTGATTCATAATGTGTAATTTTTATATATATATGTGTATTGATAATATGCAGTCTACAAATTTTTGTGGGTTTGTATTGTAGTTTTGCAATTGGGAAGTTTTTGCTTTTTTTTATATTTTTAAAGTTAGAAAAATTATAGTGTAAAAAAACTATCTTCTCAAAGTAGTTGAAGTTCTAATGTCACTTAATTATGGTTTAAAAATTAGCATCTAGTGGTAGATTCATACAAATCTAGATAGAAATTTTCTGTAATAGTTAGAGCTTTGAACAAATAATGTAAAAGAAGATTACAAGAAGTGAAGAGTTATTAATTTCATTAACATTTAGGGTTACTTTTTATTAATTTACAAAATGTGTAAAGCATAAATATTTGTGCTTAACTTACAAGCTGTTTGAGGTTGTACGCAAAACACAATAATTAAATAAACATCATTTCTTTAAGACTGTCATTTTCTTGCTGTGCATTCCAAATTAGGCTCATTCCATTCTGTAATTCCATTTAAAAGATAGAGCAAACAGTAAAAACATCTTCGTAAATAAAACCAAATGTGTGAAAGTAGCATAACAGCTTTTGAGCATTACAAACATTGTTTTTTTGGGTCTTAAATTATAATCATTGATGACATGCTCAAGGATACAAGTTTTTTTGTACATTACAAAAGAGAGTGCATGATTTTAGTGCAAATTTTGTTACTGTACTAGATTTGGTAATGTGCATTAATGAACCTTGACATTTTTATTTTGTTAGAGAAGTTGTGAGGAAGTGTTTATATTTTTTTCCATTTGCTTTCTTATCTTTTACTTTTTCATAATACAAATGCTATTTTCTTACTTTGAGCTTTCCATGTTTTGTAAGCAACATTTAACAATTTTCATTGCTTGTTATAGACTTTTTTAACTTTTCAGAGATTGTCATTGTAGATTTATTGTATAATTATTTATAAGTTGATTCAAAGATTAGATAACAAACAAAGAACAAACAA